TTTTTATAGCCAATTGATTACTCATTTTAAATAGATCTTTTTCATTTTTTGATTGTTTACTTGGTGTCTGTTTGGGGGTCTAATACTCAATTGTGGAAATTTACCAGAAAGAATAGAATATCAAATAAAATGATCACACATATATTGATTTCCCCCTTAAAGCCTGATGATTGGGAGTCCTAATTTAGAGAATAAAGAGTGTATTTGAGACTTTAGAGCCCCCTCAGAGCTGTGGATGGGGAGTGGGGGTTTGTGGAGAGCTGATCCCGTCTCAGTAATGAGGTTATTAGTGGACAGCAGCAGAAGAAGCACCTGCCCGGCTTAACGACGCTAATCTGCTTGGTCCTAATCACCATCAACAGAGTCGGGAGCACCTGCTGCCGCCCAGAGACAGAAACACGCTTTCTGGGAGGAAACACACCCCGAAAACCCGGAAGTGATATTCATTTAAAAAAAAAATTTTTTCACCTCTTTAGCTCTTTATTTTATATTAAAATTACATATATGTATGTAAATTCTTATTTTTATTTATTTATTTATTTTAGATTAAAATTACATACATGTATGTAAATTCTTAATTTTTTAAATTTATTTATTTAACCTTTTTATTTTACATTAAAATTACATATATGTATGTAAATTCTTAATTTCTTTATTATTTATTTTACATTAAAATTATATATATGTATGTTAATTTTTTAAATTTATTTTTTTTACATTAAAAGTACATATCTGTATGTACATTCATAATTTTTTTCATTTATGTATTTGACCTTTTTACCTCCTTTATTTTTCATTAAAATTACATATATGTATGTAAATTATGTTTTTTTTTAAATGTATTTATTTAACCTTTTTACTTCTTTATTTTACATTAAAATAACATATATGTATGTAAATTCTCAATTTTCTAAATGTATCCATTTTACCTTTTACCTCTTCATTTTACATTAAAATGACATATGTAGGTAAATTCTTAATTGTTTTATTTATTTATTTGACCATTTTACCTCTTTATTTTACATTAAAATTACATATATGTCTGTAAATTCTTGATTTTATTTATTTATTTATTTGACCTTTTTACCTCATTATTTTACATTAAAATTACATATATGTATGTAAATTCCCTTTTTACTTTTTTTATTTTACCTTTTCACCTCTTTATTTTACATTAAAATTACATATATGTATGTAAATTCTTATTTTTTTTATTTTTTTTATTTTACATTAAAAATACATATATGTATGTAAATTCTTAAATTT